CAACCATCAATATATTCATTATGATTTAATCATTCATTTGTAATCAAAACATTTATCAAGATTTAATCATCATAATCACCAACCAATAATCATTACCATAATCATCAATACATTCATTTTTAATCAGTAGGTTCATTAAATCATAAACATCAATCAACATAACATTTAAAGCAATAACAATTAGCGGTCTAGTTTCAAGTGTTAACACCCAAACTTACCGTCATGCATCACATAAAGTCTTTGTATTAATCAAAACATCATTTTTATTTCCAGAAATCATGTTCATAATAATTATAACTGATTGGTATTAAAAATAGGATTAAATGGTTCATAATCGGATTTTCTAGAAAAATATCAGGTCGGACGGTACCCTTCACGGTACCTCGGTACCGGTTGACGGCACCTTGGTACCGTGCCGACGGTAGGGTGTACCGCCGTGGATAGGTACCGCTAGAGGAATTCGATGGAGACGGTAGCAACCCTACCGTCCCGGCGGCAGGTGGGTACCGTTTGGACGGTACCTAGCTACCGTTCTGGTGGTAGTTTGTTACCGTGTACTGTTCATCGTTCTCTACCTCGGGTTTATTTTCGGGAATTCCATTTTTAGTCATCAAACTTCAATTAAACTATATAGAAATGTTCTCCAATGTTCATATATCATTTTGGTGTTATGAATTCATAGTTTTAACATCAAATTCAAGGTTTGTGATTCTTAATTCTTCAAGCATGTCAAACACAAAACTCAACCAAACGACCGTTTATGAACGTAGAAACGATCTATACGAACATTCTAGTCATTAGATATATCAACGGGCCTCGAAGCTTAACGATGATTTAGATGATTGGACGGCGAAACTTCCGGTGATCACCACAGCTTGTTCTGGCGACTTCTCACCAAATTGGCAGCACAACAGTGTTCCTCTCTCAATAAGGAATAGAATGGAAGGAAGAAAGGGAAAGATTGGTGATGAATTGAGAATGCAAGGTATTCTTATATAGCAGAGTGCTGGGGAAGAAGCCAAGCGATACTTACGTAGAATTTCCTTAGTGCGCACGACGGCGATAGTGCGACTTAAGGAGACTCAGCACGTTACTCTCTGATTGGGACTAAATTTGGTCCCAGTTGGGGTATACTTTTTGGTCCAACTTTCTCCGAATTGAAATCCGTTTGCACCGTTGCGATCGTGCAATTAAACTCTATCTAACGATATAATTTTTACATTTATTTGTTATTCTTTTTCCGACATCATATTTTTGATGTTTGACTTTGACAGAGTCAAAATTGGTTTAATTGACCTTTATTCAAAAAGGTTCTCACATTTAATTCATATTATTTATTTCCATGATTTATTTCAATAAATCATTTCAAAGTTCACATTACAAACAATTTCTTCATTTATTCTTAATTTGGGTCTGTACTCAGGTTCCCAATCAAGATCACACAATAAGTCAACAGGTTGGATTTATCTCTATGAGATTTAACCCAATTATGTTTATTGGACATCAATATATATTTTATTTCGGCCCAAATCCCAACAATAATTTATTTTAATCAAAACAAATTTTGTTTAATTGAATATTTGATTTAATAAATTTTAGGGTATATTTTGGGGCGTTACAATATTATTAAGAAACAATCCTAAATAGTACTAAATTTGAAAATTATGATCACGAGTATATTATTCATCACCTTACTTATATTATATTTGTTGGATAATACTTATATTATTTTAGATCCCTTTACTTATACATGGCAATCATTAATTATGTATCTTGAATAATCAGTAATATTATTCTAGATTCGTTTATTTTTAGTAAGAAATTCGTTATATCTAGGATGGACCCAATATTATTTTGAATTCTAGACCTGGCAAAAAATGACCCGACCTGTTTTTGACCCGAAACCCGACCTGAAAACACTGGGTTTTGAACAATGGTTTTGATGACCGAACCCGAAGTTGACCGAACCCGAAATGACCCGCTAAAAATGGGTCAAACCTGACCGAACCCGAACCCGACCTGACCGACCCGCTAAAGTAAGAATTTTTCAAAATAATACACTTTACTACTCGTTTTTAGTGTACAAATTTATATTTGCAGAGAAAATTTTAATGATATTGCATAATTATCTTACTTTTTTCCAAAACTTAAGCTTTTTTAAATTCCTTATATTGATTTATATATCTAAAAAATTACTTCAGAGTTTAAAATAAATCAATTTTATAGATTTAATACATTTTTTTTGATATTTTAAATTTATTTAATAGAAAATGTAAGTGGTAATGTGAATTTAAAAATTTTAAAAATCAAAGTTATAACCCGTTGGGTCGACCCGAACCCGACGATACTGGGTCATGAACATACAGTTCTCAACCCGAACCCGAATTGACCCGAACCCTAAATAACCCGAACTTGAAGTGACCGAACCCGAACCCGACCTGACCGACNATATTGCATAATTATCTTACTTTTTTCCAAAACTTAAGCTTTTTTAAATTCCTTATATTGATTTATATATCTAAAAAATTACTTCAGAGTTTAAAATAAATCAATTTTATAGATTTAATACATTTTTTTTGATATTTTAAATTTATTTAATAGAAAATGTAAGTGGTAATGTGAATTTAAAAATTTTAAAAATCAAAGTTATAACCCGTTGGGTCGACCCGAACCCGACGATACTGGGTCATGAACATACAGTTCTCAACCCGAACCCGAATTGACCCGAACCCTAAATAACCCGAACTTGAAGTGACCGAACCCGAACCCGACCTGACCGACCGATTTGCCAGCTCTATTGAATTCCTTACTTATATATCTAACTGGCAATGAGTTAAATTACTCACTTTTATATCCAAATTTATGGAAACTCTTATATACTTGGGTCAAAATCCTATTATAAAAAGAGATATATAATGAGTTGAAATGTGACATCCATCACCCATTTTCATTTTCCAATTCAATACATAGGCATTCAGAATTAATTATGCAATAAATAAGCGGAGAATCGTTAATTCAACTTCAGCTTTTGTTTTTAAAAGGATAGGTGGTAGGAGCATCCTATTTTTCAATTTCAATTGGAGCTATGGAAAATCAAGTTGACGATACATGGACGAGATCAGCTAGAGATGCAAGAGAAATGAGAAAATGAATACTTCAACAAAAAAAGATAGAAAAGGTATGCACTTTAAAGATTGTTTTATCTTAATACACTTAATTTTGTTTTATTGTTTTAAGGTAATTTGATGCATAACATTTTTGAATTATTTAAAATAACAAAATGAAATGGGATATGTTAGTGACCAGAATTTTTGTATTTAAAATTTATATGGTTGCTTTTTAATGAGCATTGAAAAATTTTTTTATCTTCATATATAAATCGTTAGTATAGATAAATTAATTTATATTAAATAAAAAAAGTTTTATACAAAATTTAATATTAGATATCAATTTTAGAAGGATTTAACAAATTCTGTATGTGAAAATGAACACTCCAAGAAAAGATAAAAATATATGTTTAGTCACATTATTTTATAGTCATGTTATTTTATCAATTATAATCTGCATCCGTAAAAAAATTAAACGTCATTCATAGGTTGCATAGTAATCATGGATAATTAAAATGTATAATTGTTGATTTATCTAGGCATGCATATAGCTCACTGATTATTTTTATCAATTTTATATTTACATCAATAAGAATAAAATGATGTCTAACCATGACTCTTTAATTCCATTTTTCTATATTTTTTATGAAAAAAATAGTTTATACATATTGAATTTTTTAAACAATTGAATGGACGAATATTGACAAAGTTGAGTAAAAACATATTCGTATTTAAAATCTTTTAAATAAAATTCAAAACTTTGCAATAAATTTGATATGAAATGGGTGAATATAAAAAAAATGTGAGTACATATTTTAAAACAAAATGATATGCATGCGAGGAAAAAAAATAGGCATTGATACAGAATGATCAATGTAAATAATTCAAAGTTCAAATATAATTTTTAAATTGGAAAATTTACTTATATCTAACACGTAATTCATTTATCAAAATGGCAACTAAACTGTGTTCAACTGAAATAATTGATACTCCATATATATATTCATAGTCAGAGAAATTTACCTAAATAAAACTAAAACATAATGACTTTCCCTAAATAGCAACATATGTTTTTTATTTCTCAATGTAGCACTTTTAGTCATTATCCATTAGTCATTATTTAGACAAATGTTCACCGTCAAAGGATATTATTTCTCCTTCTAAACATTATTAAGTGTTATTTAAAGGATAAAAAGTTTAAGTCTTATTTTTGGAAATGACTTTTGTTTTAGTGTTATTTAGTGCAGATATGAAAAATAAAAAATTGAAAAATTATATTGGGAAAAAGTTTGAAAAATGAAAATTGAAAAATGGAAAATTTGAAAAATGAAAAATGAATAATTTGAAAAGGTTTAAGGTCTTATATTGGGAAATGACTTATGTTTGAAAATATGAAAAATTATTCTTTTATGAGGATAAAGCACTATTGGCACCAACTCTCGAAGTAGTTGAAATGATAAATGAATTTGTTCTGTCCCTCATTCCTGTTGATGAAAAGGAGTACTTGAATTCTGATTCTTCGTGCCAAGCAGAAGCACATGTAGGTGTTGATGACGATTGGATAACAGTTGAGTTTTTGAACGAAATCAAATATTTGGGAATCCCAAACCACAAAATAGTCGTGAAAAAAGGGGTACCGATTATGCTATTGAGGAACATTGACCAAACATCTGGATTGTGTAATGGAACAAGATTAATCGTTCAAGAGCTGCGAAATAATGTTATCGGTGCAATTGTGGTTTCGGGAGGTCGAGTCGGGGAAAAAGTTACATCCCTAGAATGAATTTGTACCATCTGATCTAGGGCTACCCTTGAAGTTCCAAAGAAGATAATTCTTGATCGTCTCATGTAGGGGTGAGCATGGTACGGTATGGTACGGTATTTAGCCCGTACCGATACCGTACCAAATATTTCGGTTCGGTATGGGATTTTACACCGTACCGATCCCGATCCCGACATATCGGTTCGGTATGGTTCGGGATGGTTCGGTATCGGTTTCGGTACAAATCGGGATGAATATACATACCTACTTTACACCTTGAAGTTTAACAATGTCCCTTTATTTTTGAAAATTAAAAGTGAATTTAAATAAAAAAAAACGTGAAAAATTAAAAAAATAAATATTTAAATGCAAGGGATGCATATCAAAACATAGTTTATATTTCACAAACTAAAAAAATGAACGACAACAAAGGGTTTTTCGAATCTTTGTGAATACTTTTATGTTTATACACAAAAACTAAAACTCAAATAAAAGTATAACTTACACATGATAAAACTTCAACCAAATTTTTTTTAAAAAATTACTCCGTATTATTTANTATATGTAAATTCCTCCGAGATTAATAAAAGTTTCTCCCCTTGGCATGACACCGCCTAAAAAGGACCGTGGTTTACTCCCGATTTGGTTTGCACACCATCCAATACACTTCTTTAATCCATTTTATCTTGTAATTTGTATATTAAAAAATTATAGAAATTATATATTAATAATCTATATGTTAAGACAAATCAAACAAGATCACACATGACTATATTTAGGCTTACACATTGAGAGAATTTGATGAGTCAAAGTGCTTAGATGAACAGTTCCAAAAGTCAAAAGTGGACGAATATAGCGGGACAGAGGTAGTATTTATTTTCTAATTTCACTATTCAGTGCGGTTCCAATTCGATAACAAGTTCGTCGGGTCGATGCCCCAAAAAAACGGTTTCCATCAACATCATAAACCAAAATAGGTCACATTAAATGGATATATTTGTAAAGATTTATTTTCTCAAATGACTAATAAAAACAGACAAAAAAAGAACAAAATTTGATTGTAAATAACTAAATATCATAAAAAAACAATGTAAATTGAAACGAAAGAGCAACTTTTAAAAATTACTCCCTTCTTCCCAATTTATATTGCATGTTTCGATTTACAATATTTAACTAAAATTATTTTCTAATCATTTAATATGAAAAATTGTATAGAATTAAAATAATAAAAATTACCCGGATTACATGTTTGTTAAAATACTACATCAAAAGATCTATAAAACTAGTAGTAACATGATTAATACTTATGACTAAACATGTAATTTAATTTGAGCGAAAACATTTTTAAGGGAATCTAATGCTATTAAATAAGCATTACAATTAATGGTAATTTATTACCAGTAGTAAAATTAGATCAAAGTTTCTAACGTTCGCCCAAAAAAGTCCACAAAATAAAGAAACCGAGGCTTGTGTTACTACTGTATAATATTACTGCATTGATAGATTCGACTTTGGCACAACACATGAATAACACTTCACTACATTTTGAATGAAACCTTCAAGACGACGAATTCCCTCGCACCCGTATGGGCATAATCGGCAATTTAACTCATCTTTGTCCCTTCACCACCACCGCCGCCGCCACAGCCATGGTGCAGGGGAGGAGGCAGATAGATATGCTTCGTTTTCCTTCTACAAATTTAAAAGAAAAAATCAATCTTCGCTATCAGAGCTGGCTTCTTCATCATCACTGCTGTAGTCACTACTGTCATCGTCAAGATCAAGCTGCACATGCCGCACTTGTATGACCTCCGGCATCTTGGGCGGCCCTTGTAGAGGCACAACTGGCGGCGGGGGCGGCACCAGCAGCTGCTCCACCTTCTGGGTGACAGATAGTGGAGGCAGGGGGACTGGATCTCCTTGTTTCCACCCGGGTGGAGGGAGGGGTATATCGATGGGCAGTTCCACGGGCATTCCGGGTTGCCACCCAACGGGCACCACAATATTTGTGAGGTCGGGTAGTTCCATTGCTGGGTCAATGAGCGGGTGGACAATCTTCTCCTTACCCTTGTCCGTTTTGGGCAAACCAACGTCGTGATCAGCAAAGTTATACAACTGAGAAGCACGCATGTGCTCCTCCTGTGGGGCCGGGGGGAGGGCTCCACGGAGTGGGCCTGGTCCGGCGCCAAACTCGGGTGGAGCAAAAGTTGTGTAGCTGATCCTATGAGCATACGACAATATATCCGACAGTTTGATCTGGGTGTTGACCGTTGTCAACGAAGAGTCCTCATCATCGGACAATTTTGCCCGTTTCGGGCGGCGATAATCGGAGTAGTCATCCACTAGCATGTCAAGGACACGGACCGCTTCTTGAAGCTTGCGGGCAAAAGCAAGAACAGAGGAATCTTTAGACTGGATTTCCTGTGAGATCCTCTGCTTTGCATCTTGAAGGTCAAGAATTTCTTGAAGCTCTGCAACAGCTTCAAAAAGTTGCGACTGAAGGGAAGCGAAGAGGGAGAGGGTTTCTTTGGTGGTAGAAGGGGAGGGCTCGAGGGGTGGGGTTTGAGAAGGTAAGAAGGAAGGGAGAGAGCCGCGGAAGGAACTAACCCATTGGGAGCGGTTGGGCGAGACTTCAAAGAGTCTGGAAGCAAGGGAGGCCATTTGAGTGAGGAGAGACTGGGCTCTGGGGAGAGGGGGAAGGAGGGAAATGAGTGCGGTCGAGGTGTGGTTTGGGTGTTGGCGAGGGCGAGATTGAGAGGCTTGGGCGGTGGATGGATTGGGAGAGGCAGGGTTTTGAATAGAAGGTGAGTTTGCAGTTGGGAGGCCGAGCCTAGCCGGAGATTGCAGTATTTGGTGGGGTACATTCTGTGTCGTCATCATAAATCAAAGCTTTAGCCTTTCAAACTGCAAAATATAAACACAATAGTTGTCACTTTATGACATGAAAAATGAATGGGAAAACTTAACAAGTAATCAAGTAGTAGACTTAATAGTAATATTATCTTGGAGGGTGTGTTTACGCAAACATTTTACCAATAGACCACTGGCTCAAACACAAAAACCGGCTAAAACACAGTAACACATTCGTAGTATCAAATAAGAGCACAGACAATACATACAATTCAAAAGAACATGTGAGTTAATACAAGGATTACAAGCATCTCTTTTGTTTATCAAAGGTTCTACCAGTTTATATGTTTCAGCAAATAATTGGAGATTCAATTTCTTGATCTCTATCTTCAATATTTTCAAACTGATGAAGCTCTTCCATCAACCTTGAGCAATGAACCTAAATCTTTTAAATTGTATTTGATTTAATCTAGGTTTTTTTAGTAATCTCCTTCCCTTTTACACTTCCAAACATTATAAGCACATACCCATTAGAATATCAAAATCACAATGATAATAATAAAACAAAGCAAATATTCATCCGAAACGTGGACGTAAAATCTGTAGAGGAACCATTTTTCGAAAATGGCGTTTTATATATGGAAGTTTTGACCATAGATATAAATTTTGTTAATGATTTATAAAGATAAGCATCTAAGGATTGTTCTTCATATGAGTAGAAACTGATAAAAAATAGCTATTGTTTGAAATTCAAAACAAGGTTGGAAGTTTAAGCAGCAAGGGGTGAAGATGAAGCTTGGAAAAATGAAAATTACCTTAAATTGGATTCAGAAGAAGAGCATGGTCAGATAAAGGAAGCCACACGGCACGCGCACCAAGAGGGAAGCTTATATTCTCTAAGGAATGTTCATTGTTGAAAGGTTTTATGTCATAAAGTAGAATGTTATTTGGGCTCTCATTTATTTTAATAAAAACAATAAACTGCCAAACATTGGCATACTCCATATCAATCAGTTTTTTGTACAATATCTCTCCCAAAATAATGTTTTGATTTGACTTCAAAAGAAAAACATGAAGTTTTAAATTAAAATTAAAATTATTATTATTATTATTATTATTATTATTATTATTATTATACTTCTGAAATTCCCAATAAATATAGAATGTAGACACAACTGCATAGCCATCCATATCCCGACCTCCAGATTATGTATTTGAACAAAGTACCTCCTAAATCTTGTAACACACAAATTTAAAACCATTTAGCCAATCACTTCTACTTCATAATGGGTCAACCCCTTTGCAGAATAGAACTTAAAATCCACCCAAAGAAGCAAATAATCGAGCAAATAAACCAAATTCAAAGATAGTAACCAACTACTAAAACAATTGGGTAACTTGTTTCTAAGTCACCAGATTTCAATATGTGGTTCCTCTTATTTGATTTTTTTAAAAGAAGAACATTCTTCGAGCAAGAAACTTACCAACAATACATCATCAAACCAATTTACCAAGAAAATAAAGGTAAAGTAAAAAGGTACAGAAATGTGTCAGTTCATATACTTGAAAAGAGTGAAGTGAAGAAGTTGTAGGCATACTTGTTACAGCGTCGCCAAGGGGACAGACGACTCACCATGTGGCGGCGATAAGGCGATGCCAAATTTGATTAGGCGTTAAAAAATGCTTTACAACTAAACCCTAGGCTGCAGAGATAGAAATCAATAACACAATTACACACCTTATCTCTCGATCTGGCCTT